TGGTTGGTTTTGTAAGTGTAAGGCGGGGAGCAGAGTAGTCGGAATGTGTGGCCACATCACCAGTGTCGTGTGGTTTCTTGCGCACGCGAGACATGAAGTCGATTCTGTGAAAGGTGTCAGGAATTGGAGCACCTCTGTTAATGATGCATCAGATCTACCCGAAATTATCGATGAATCAGACAGTGATGAGGACAGTGATGTTGAAGAGTGAAAGAACTCAATTGCTTTTAAAACGTTTTATTTTCTTCTCTCCAATGTCATTCTCTCCAATGTCATTTAATATAATGTCATTCGGTATTAGTACGAGAGATGTGTCTGAACATGTAAATGTATGTTTACAAGTTATGCTGAACAATTTCTTATTTATTTCATAGTAATTTTTACTATTATGTTTACAAATATAACAATTATATTCATAATGATTAGCGAAATAATTAACACAGGTGCAAATATTTGATGATTTCCAAAAAAGTGCAGAAACTTCCTTTTTTTCTCTTAAAATACATATTTTTTCCATAACGAGAGATGTGTCTTAAATCCTAAAATAATTCGATGTTGGCCAGATGCATAACTTTTAAATTCTTCATCTCGAAATAGAATTTTAGGAAAGTGAAATTTCCTTACTTAGAATCAGCTACAGTAGGTCTCTCGTTTATGTTTTGTTGCTGACTTTCTACTATTTTTATTGTAATTACTGTTATCTCTGAAAATACAATTAAGTCGCACAGGATCCTGTGATTTTGCAGTATTTGTTCCTTAAAACAGAAGAAAACAAAGAAAGGGTGGTTGTTAAATCAATCACCAAACATACAAAAAGGGTACTTGATTTCAGGAAGGGGGTGAAATCAAAGACAAGGGGCCTTACGAAAGAACTTACAACTAAGACCAAAATTTAATTCTGCTTCTAACTTTTTAACTTACATTATATTAAAAATGGTTTTAATCTTTTTGAAAGGAATGTAGTAAGATATTTTTACGCTAGCAATTTTAAACAAAATCATTTATATTGCAAAATTTTACAACCAATTTAAGTTTTCTGTCTTAGTCGTAAGTTCTTTTGTAAAACGGGCCCAAGGAGTGACAGAAATAACATCGAACACCATTTTGCAGGTATCGGAGAAATGTCAAACAATTTCCCTCTTTCACTTAAAGGAGGAAGCCCTCCCCCTTTTTTTATCAGTCATAGAAATTTAAGAAATGGGAATATTTCTTGTTGGTTTAGGTGGGATGGTAAAAACCCTTACTTTGATTTTAATTTTGTGTGTGATAGTATGGGAGGGGGTGGGGGGGGAGGTATAGTAATTTAGAATACAAATAACGAGGTCTTGACCTACGGAATTTGTAGTATACTAGGGATCTTCTGGAATTATTGGGAGATTGTGTATATTATCCTCTCTATAATGAAAGTATTTTGGTGAAAATTGGCATTTTCTCTAAACATACATAAAAAATAAAAGCAAGAAATATTTCAGAAATATTTTATCTTTTTTCTTTTCTGTGGTATATGAATGAGTCAATGGTGGGGGTACCCGGCGCAGTCATGAAATCAGATAATGAAAATCGATAACTACTACGTACGTAGTTTCGTGGACCAGAATGGGAATTTTTTTAAAATTATGTATGTAATTTTTCAATTTTATTTTGACTCTATTTTATGCAATTTTGATGGAATTTAGACTAGAAATACAACAATCATAATTAATATTTACTACGTGTAAATAGAAATCTGAAAACGACAGCAAAATGGATTATGACGTCAATGCGAAGGAGCGAGTATACAAAAATTTATGTAGCCAAGTGGAGAACTATTGTCTAGACTAAACTACCTGCTAAAACAATAATGATGCGAAGAAACATTTCATTTTTTCATTTGTATATTTTTTCCTCACAAATTATTCAATTAGAGTGAAACCAAAGGCGCTAGATGACCATCAATTATTAGGGACTAAAAAACGTTGACCAGCGGTGCAAAAGTCGGTACTGCACGATAGGCAAAGTGTACATGACATTTCATGTAATTTTCAATTGTGGCAACACACATTTTATTTTTCAAAGAATTGACTAAGAAAAGAGAGAGTTTGTTTTCTACAAAGTTATACATTTATAAGTAATAACAGAAACATTTATAAGTAATAACAGAAAAAGAATTAACGCTTTCCAATCGTTTCAACACGAGAAAATAATCTAAGGCTGACGTGACGTTAAAATGACGTAGCCATGCTGCCCCAGTTCAGTGGACATATTCAAGTTTATAATATCATCGGAGCTTATCTAATAATCATATGAACTAGAAATTTTGCACATTTATTTTATTTCTTCTTGATAAAGAATTTTCATGAAATGATCTCTTTCTTTTATGGAGAAAAAGTAAATTCTCAATTATATCCCAGCAACCCTCGTATTGTAATGTTTCATAACGTAAGTTATTGTCTTTATAAAATGGGCGAACGTCAAGACAGCAGGTGTGCATTTTTAAAGGAGTATATTTCAGGCGCTTCAAAAGATATCAGATAAAAATTACTTTTTTCATAAAATTAACATATTCTAATATTTTATGTAGTATTTTGGTTGATTTCCTGAACAGGGCAAATTTTGGCCAAAACTGTACCTTGTTCTTTCTTTTGAATTAGAATGTGCATAGATACCACGTACATTTTCCCCCTGTATTTTAATTGTCTCTCTGAGAAAGGGGATTTGATTCTTTAATTTTTTTTTTCTCAAGAAAAAGCAGCATGAACAGATATGAAAGCTTTATCATTTAGGTTGATTCGAATTTATTCAAATTATGGCCCACGGGCTACAGTGGGACCACAATTGGGGAACCAAGTTTAAAAGGTTTAAACTGGGGAAACTTTAAAAAAAATGACATAGGAAAACAAGATAGGGTCAACCTATTGATTGTAACTAATCTGATTACTGTTGTGGTCCTGCCCTAGCCTAAGATAATTTGAATGAGTTTGATTCTACACTACATGGGAATTCTTGCGGATAAATTAAATAGGTCGAGGCTATCTGGTACCGCTTGCAGGGTGGCGAGGGTCTGTTGGAGCCATAAAAATGATCTGTGAATATGAATGGGTCAAGTCTTCATTCCACATAAACATTTAAATGACGGAAAAATGAATAAAAAAAATTTTATGTTTGAATAAAAATGGAACCTAAACTAAATGACATGCTTTAACAAATTAAACTCGCTCATTAAAAGGGACATCACTTAAGAAAGAAACTGCCCCAAAAACTTTAACTGGTGTCTCATCTCGAAAATGTAGGTCAAATTCAGCATCCGAAGCAAACCCAGGTAGTGAGCATCCTTAGATGTATCATCCATGCAAGTTTGGTCCAGGTAGGGCAAAGAGTTACTTTAGAATGAACCTGCTCCAAAAGCTTTAACCTGGTCACTCATGCAGAAAATGTTGGTCAGATTCAGCATCCGAAGCAAGTCCAATGAGTAGTGTACATCCTTAGATATTTCATCCATGCAAGTTTGGTAAACATAGGGTTTATAGTTACTTTAGAATGAACCTGCTCCAAAAACATAGGGTTTATAGTTACTTTATAACGAACCTGCTCCAAAAACTTTAACTTGGTCACTCATCTGGAAACTGTCGGTCACATCCAGCATCCGAAGCAACCGTAGATGTATCATCCATGCAAGTTTGGTCAACATAGGGGTTATACATGTAGTTACTTGGAAATGAAACCTGCTCACAACTTCAACCTGCTTCTTAAAATATTAACATCATGCGCGGATCTAAAGGGGGGGGGGGTTCCGGACCCCCCTCACCCATGAAATTTGCAAAGTAATTAAAAGTATATACAGAAGCAAATAAAGAATGACTTTGGACCCCCCCCCCCCAAAAAAAAAAACATGGACTCCACCATCACCACCACGGAATAGGTGTTTTTCACGTATGGGAAATGGATTTTATGTGGGTTTTTTTTTTTTTTTTTTCCTTTTTTTTTTTTTTTTTTTTTTTTTTTTTTGCTTGTCAAGAAATTTTTGGGTTGGAATTTATTTTGACTGGGATGGACCCCCCCCCCCCGGAAAAAATTCCTGGATCCCCACCTGAACATGGACATTCTTTAGCTGAAATTGCAGCATATGAAACATTGAATGGTACGTTGAAACATAGAAGCATCTTTCATGCATCTCTGATTAATTTAGGGCATAGAAGTACTTGAAAAGAAATCAGCTCCAAAAACTTTAACCAGGGATGCCGACTGTATTACATAAGGTCCCCCAAATTCGTTGAGGTGAGATAAAAATTCACAAAATTTCTGAATATGAAGTAAAACGCAAACACACACTCAACCGGTTCAACACCTTATATCAGCAAATAATTCAAAAAAATGAAACATGATACAAGCTTTCGAGAGAAAAAAAAGATTTTGTATTAGCCGACAATAGGTGGCAATAATGTTATCTCACGAGTCATCAGTGAATGACAAGTAAAGATTCTTCTTCACATAACAGAAGTACATTGTATATACAGGTAAATTTTCTTTACCCCCTGATGTATTTATTTTCCGAATAGTTATCAGGCAACCAGGAAGTTAAATCATGTAGCGAAATCATATACAAGTCTCTTCAAGGTAAACATTAAACTATTTTACACTTTGCAAAGAGGAAGTTTGTTACTTTGAAGTTTGAACATCCGTTCTATTGTTTCCATGCATTTGCGACCGTTGGTCTTTTTCATACATTGGTATCTGAATATAATGAGCACAGATGCAGGGAAACCCTCTCATAAAGTGGCCAATTATGAGTAGTTTTTTCTGATCTTTGCCGAATACCTGAAATCGACATTCTATTGGCGAGAGGCTGCAAAAATGTAAAAAAAAAATAAATAAATAAAAAAAAAAAATAACAGAGAAAAATTGATCTTGATTACAACAGCTGTGCAAGTTTTAATAGTATTTCATAATTATATAAATAGATGCACGTCACATTATTTTCCTTCGGTACATGTAGATAAAATAAATTCGTGGCTTGGACAGATATGGAGACAGAAGATCTCGATAATGCTGTTAAATCTGCAACTAAGGAAGCTGGATTAGAACCAAAACAAGAAACAGGGCCCCCAGGAAAAATAGCCGGGGAATTAGAAAGTATTGACCGAGTAAAGGGACGATTGTTTTCCTCTGTACAAACAGGTGGAGGGGTAAATGTGCAAGACTCCGTTATTTTATACAACAGAAGAGAAGATAGTCTTCAAGAAAACAACCCAGATGAAAATGCGAGAGAAGAAAATGCAGAAACAGTGACGAGAAACGTAAATATGAATCCAACTGTTGATTGTGAAAGTTCCCCTAACCTGGAAAATACGGCGTTAGATAACAACCACTACCCTGTGGCGGATAATGCTCCTCATGACCAGACAGTCCTAAGTAACGCCGCTTGTCTTGAAAGGACCTTGAGTGTCGAGTCAAGTAGTAGCCTTGCGTCAGATCTTTTAGAATGTAAGTCGTTAAGTTAGGAATTTCATTGGTAATGAAAGAATTCTTTTTGAAAATATGGTTGAACATTTAAAGTGTATTCGAACTTGTATTTCTTTCGATCCAAAATGGGATTTTATTCAGAATTAAGTTCAGTTTCGACCTTAGATATATATAATATTGGTATATTCTTTATTGAAAGTTAGTCGGTTTAAGAGCTTTTAAGCTCATGTTCTGTTGAATGTATAAATAGTCAAACTTTCAAGAAACTTTACTTACTAATGTAAGTGTATACCATTTGGCAATTTTACAGGCGATACTTGCAAGTTGTTGAGAGGCAGGTTTTCATCCAGAGAATCAGTCGATTTTTGGGACAAGGTGGATCGTTGTGGAAATGATAGAAATTGCAATTCCAAGGTGAGAGAACATATTTATTATTCAATGCTTTATAATGGTGAATAGCAATATATCGTATAAACCTCAAAGTTTTGAATTTAAATTAGTAGTTTATGCATCCTATAGTTTTGGATCAACTTCATTGCAAAATTAGAGGAAGAATTTCCACAAGAGAACGGACTTCAAAGCAAACAGACCAGGTCCCTACTTAAAACCCTCCTTGGAGTCAAGAACAGAGGTAATACACAAAGTGTAGTTGATATTTCAATAGGTATCAATGCTTGGCTCTGAATTCCTCGAAATACTATTTAATTATAGGTAAGGCATTTTGATCATATTTACAGTGTAAGTTTTTTATTATAAAAATCATACAACATATATAACGTAACATACAACATATATAACGTATGTTCCACTTATGATAAAAACATATATTTATAACCATTATAAACGAGTGACATACATGTATGCGTGTACGTTGAAATCAGCATTTGATTAGCATATGGATTGGACGTACCGGTATATTAAAACATACATTATACGTATTATTGGAGATGGGCGAATAAACCGAGAAAAATGCCTATGGTTCGACAAAATAAGAATGTCAAAATTATGATGAATTTTTTTTCTTTGATATTTCGGTTATCATTAATATGTACTTTCTGTAATATCTCAACAATGTGCAACAGACTCACAAGTATAGAAACAAGTATAGAAATCATTCATTTATCAAATATCATGTACACATCAAAGATGGCTAAAATGATCATTTCTCTTAATGTTATAGCTCAATTTTTACACATAAGCGAGTCTTTCCTACGTTTTTACGAAAGTATATCTTCAAAGTATGTGAAAAACTTAGATTTTTTGGTTAAAAAAACATGGTGCGAGGATCCACTATACCTTAAAACACACATTTATGACACTATCCACTATACCTTAAAACACACTTTTATGACACTATCCACTATACCTTAAAAGCACTTTTTTCATGGACCCTTTGGGTCAACGCAGAAAATATATATGCGAACTTAAACCGGAAAAAAATTCAGCTTGCGCATGTGCCAACATGATAACCAAGTCGCCTCTAAGACATTAATGCCATCAAATTAGGAGAACTCGACCACCGTCGGGGCATGTGGTAGCTATTTTATGCTGATCTTGAACAAAACAGCTCACGTCTATTATGATACATGGTAGACCCCCTTTTAATTGTCAAGTTAGAGATCAAGGCTACATACAATGAATAAAAGATTCCTAGATCAGACCCTGTTTCTATTATTCATTTTTACAGCCTAATCTATAGCATTTTATCTTCTAAAGCTAAATGAAATATTTGCATGTCTCAAGATAGAAGAAATTTCTTTTCCATTTTAAATTTTCTTTTTTCTTGGGCCTCTTGTTCTAGTAAAATATCCAAATATGTAACAGATGTGTCAGACTCCGTGGTATCTTTTATTTCAAGTTCAATGGGATATATCGTATCGATATACGAATGGAAGTAACCATTGTTAATTGACAGTACGTCGTCGATATATATATAAATGTCGAGTTGAAGGACACAGCAAGTGTTTTCTTCTTTTCACGTACAAATTCTGCTTCAAATGAATACAAAAATACGTATATAATCAATTTTTGGTAAAAAGTCTAAGTTAAGTCAAAAAGATTTAAATATAAATAAAAGTATACTGTGATATCAAAAGAACGTAACTCATTAAAGATTTCTCTGGGTTAAGTTGGTTAAAAAAAAAATCTTTTTTTTTATTGCTCACTCAACATGCTCAATAGTTCTCCATATATCCCATACAAAATATGTAGATTTCATTGATCTTGTTTGAGAGAATTACGACTTTGTTTGCCAGGTACTGGTATAATTTATATTTGTACATAGCTTGGTTTACTAAATGTCATGAAATATTGAAATATTTTGAATGTTTGTAAATGCGCTACATTGTAGGCCATGTTGAATACTAAGTACGTTATCCTTCTTTGCCCATCTTTAAAGGGGCCTGGGCACAGATTTGAAGTTGATATTTTCTCAAATTTTCTGTATAATGTCATGCATGACTTATATGTTGCTATAGCGTTTCACACGGAATTATAATAAAGATACTGAATGCTAAAAGTTCATGTTGTTATCATGTATTTTTATCATCAATTGATTGTTTTATCTGCGAACAAATACTGATATAGTGTAATGTTTTTGTTTTTGTTGTTGTTTTTTTTTTTTTATGTGTGTTCTTGCCTTTTCCATTCATATTTTAGTGGGGTTTTTTTTGTTTGTTTGTTTGAGTTTTTTGGTCCTTTTTTTTTTTTTATCATTTTTAGTATTGGTTATTATTATAAATTAAGCTCTAGTCTGAATACTGACTGTATGTCAAAAATTTGTCCATCATGACGGATATCGGACAAATGTTTATAAAATGATTGAGTTATGGAAAGAAGTAACATCAGTATAAGAAAGGGAGTTTTAACCCTCAAAGTAAGACATACCGTCAACTTGTGGAAATAAATTCATTACAAGGCAATAGTATAAATAGATAATTAAAACTGTTGTGACTTTTTTGATAGATGACGCAGAAGTTGGCCTTACAGACTTACTGAGCGTAGTCAGATTCTTTGGTCCTGTAAAGCCTGACCCTAGTGGAAGATGTCTTCTCATTCAACACGTATGAATTGTCAAATTTAAGAAAATAGGTTTAAAGCATATATCTTTATCGTTATGAAAACAATATTATATATGCAGTTTCTTTCTTCTAAACTTTTAAAGTACAACATAGCTCTTTCTGATTTTTAGAGACATTGAATTATTTATCGATATGTTGAATATGACATGCTTCAATATAAGATTAATGCTAAATTGTGATAAGGTAATCTCCGAATGAATGTACATCCAGTATATAGAGTGGGGCCCAGAGATCAAATATTATGTCACCCCGAACATAGTCGAGGAGATATATTGTTATTGTACGCTCAATAACTTTGTCCATGGATGTTTTTGGAGACGGCTGGGACAAGTTTAATGAAACTTTCCAGAAAAGATGATCACCAGCTGTTGTTCTGCAGTTGACATTTTCAGTTTCAAAATGGGCACTAGAAATAGAAATGGTTATCAGCAACTTAAGTTGTGCAGTCAACATTTTAAATTTTTAAATAGCCCATCGTTGCCATGAAAACAGATGAAAAGTGAAAATTCTTAAACATTCTTTTTTCTCAGTAACTGTTCAGGCAAACGTTTTGAAACTTTAAAGGATTTTAACAATTGTGCATTCAACATTCAAAATTTTGTAAATACTTTTGCCATGGAAACAGATAAAGTGACAATTCTTTTCATTTTTCTCACTAACGACCCAAGCAATATTTTGAAAGTTTAGACCTGTATTCCTTCCACTGTATCTAAGTGGTGTCTAAAAAAATTGGAATCGATTACAGAAGCTAGGTCCATCACTTCAGGGACCGGAACAAAGTCGGGCACATATTGTTTTAGTTTCTCCTTTTGCAATTTTCTGCTAGTGTTCTCGTAGATGGCTTTTAAAATCTTTATGAAACTTTACAGAAATAAAAATCACCATCCCTAATTGTGCAGTCAATATTTTAAAATTTCAAAACTTGTCGCTGAACCCATGGAAATAATTTAAGAAACGTTGCTTTCACGTGACCGTTGTATGCCATCAGAAGTTTTTTTTAAAAAATCACTTCCCCATTTTGTAGTTATTGGGTGATTAGTTTATCAACAAAGTAAATACACCTATTTGCAGTTTTTTTTATACGAATGACCAAAAGTTTTGCACATACGTTTATTTTTTATCTTTTAAAAAACTTTAAATTTATCATCTATATCGGAATTATCAAGCTACAGTAACTTTGGTACGGTAATACATATTGTACTAAAATTGCAGAATAAACTTCTCTGAAGAAGTTAAAATAGAGCACTCGTTTATTTCTTATCTGTTAAACACTATAATTTTTTCGATTTGTTTTCATTTACTAAGACTCCCCCCCCCCCCCGACTTTAGGTTTTTCCATATTTACATGTATAAACGATCCTTACTCTGTGTTTCTGATGATGTATTTCATATTCACTTAACTATCTACACTCGTTTAGAACTTTAAAAAAATCAAAAAAGGTTAAAATTTATCGGGAAATCAGCATTTTATTATACACCAATCCTGCCTCTCAAAAGTGTTTTCTTCTCCGCACGACTTCGTACAACAAATATGTATGCTTCCCAAATCTTTGAAAAAAAATCCAGTAGTTGTTGGTTCGAATCCAGCAACCGTAAGATGTATTTCAGATACCATTTTAAAACCAATCTACTTTTAGTCAGTTCGGGTTGACGTACGATATTGCTTGCGATTGCAGACTTTCTAGTTCAAATTCCAGTTGTAAAATAATGATGAATAATATGTCCTTAATGTAAGTGCTTTTGATTATTTTTGGTATAATTTTTGTAGCGACCTTTACTTTGAATACTAACAGCTTTTAATTGTCTTGAACATATATGCTTTATTTCTTTAAAGCTGCAAGAAATTATCAAAAGATCGGTCTTGAAGGGAAAACAATATCAAAGAGTCAGGTATGTACATACATGATGTATTAGATATTATAAATAAAGTTCATCTTGATTGCATATAATATAGAGATACAATCTGATATATCTGTTTCATATTTGGATACTAGTACTTTATTAGCTATAGGCATTGATGTCAAACTGAATGACTTCATTTTTCTATTGTCAGTTTCCCTTATATTTATGAAGCAGTGACCCAATAATCATCTCTTAATTGTGTTAATGTATCCCAGTTGATTCCATACGCAATTTCATGTTCAGAGTACGTTCAATTTTGAAACCGAAACATGTTACTGACAAATAGGTTTATGTGAGAGAGACAAAATCAACAATATGAACAATCTCATTTCAAGTCAACATATTAAGAATTTTGTTACAGTGAGCTTGTTTGCAAATGCAACATTCTGTTGGGTCCGATGCCGACTGATGGTTTTCATTCCATTTGTTAGACTAGTCTATTTTTTCAACGAACACAGTATTTTTCTAAGGATTACTCCGTCTCTGATCGAGAGATAGATCAGGGCGACTGTAACTGGTCGACAGGGAATGCTTTCTCCTCTGTGGCACTTAGTCCTACCTCTGGTGTTTCAAGGGGTCCATGATCTCAGTTCTTGAATTGCTTTAATTCGATTTGATCACCTTTCGTCATCACATTTTCATTTTCGCAATTTTATTAAGAATAGACGCAGACCTTAGCGTGGTTTCTGCCGTCAGATATCCTTATCTGGAGCATAATGTAATGTTGTAAATTTTGAATTTACTAGGTGGCAGTAAATGCAAGATTTACATGTTAAATTTTGTATTTAGTTTTACCAGGTAAATTCAAAATTTTCATGAAAATGACTTCCTAATCCTTGAATGAAAAGAATACAGAATATCGGTCTTTTTTCTGTTTTTCCCCAATGCTAAGAAATGTACTTATGGTCTTAACGTAAGTTTATTTTTTTATTTTAATGTCAATGTCATTATTTGATGAGATATTTAATTTTTATTCAGTCGATAACTTTAAATCGCCTACGGAAATGTATTCAATCCACTGTAAGTTGTTAACCATTATGAAAGTTCTTTTTCTATTTGATTTTGTGACATGTCAAGCTCTCGTAGTAATGCCCTGGGGTATAATTGGAAAGCGGGGACATCCATTTTAGGTTACTTGAGTCACTCAGGTGATCTACATATTTTACTTCCTTTGTCCTTCCTTCGTCCACCACCAGTCATTAGAATCTTTTGAGCATGTCCAGCTTTTTCTTCGAATGGCACAAGTTATTTTAACCAATTTTCGGATATAGCATTTTCTTTGAATGAAAGGGAACAATAATTATTAAATTCGTGGTTTCTCTCTCCCTAGGGTCTGAGGGGTATGGCAAAAAAAAAAAGAGAATTATATAAAATGTGTTAATGAATTAAACTTTTTCTGTATTTTCTGATATTTTGATCAATGAGAAGCTGGTTTGCCGGTGAAATGTCCAGAGACGAGGCAAATGAAATCCTACACAGTCAAAGTGATAATACCTACCTTGTACGGTAAGGGAACAAACTCTGTTCGACTATTCAACTGCAGAAAACATTGATGGATATTGCATATATACAAATGATAATATTTGTTCATTCTGATGATTAGAAATAAATAGACATGCTTATTGCTTTCACTTTAGTTTGATATTCCAAATGTAAAAAAATAGTATTTGATTTCATCAGAGTTTGACACTAAATTAGATACATTGTATATAATTTGACAAGAAACCTTTAAGTAACTTTTTATTATACTCATTTGAATGTGAATTCGTTTTTAAAATCGTGTTTTGTTTCAAGAATGAGCCAAAGCAATGCAGAAAGAGGTTCGTTTGTTGTGTCAGTGAAAAATAAAAATGGTTGCCACCACTTTGAAATTGAAGTAAGTTTAAGACAAATTCAGTTTCATGCAATGTTTAACCTTAAGTCTTATCTACGTTTTGAAATACTAGACATGTAACCAAACAAGCCAGAATAAACTTATTCCTTTACACAGGGTAATCCTTTGGAATCGGCTAAAAGCCCAACCATCAATTGTCACCTACGTCTCATGGGAAAGAGCTACCAGACACTTCCTGCAGCCATTGAGGACTTAAAATTTAATTCTCTGCATGACGAAGACAACAATGAGGACATCTGGTGTACCCGAATATGTCCTGATCTAAGATTTAACAGTATCATCACTCCGTATAAGGTTACAAAATAAGATAAAAAGAAATTCCGGACAATTGATGGAATGTCCTTTACATTACAGATGATTTGCCAATTCTATCTTCTACAAAAATAGATTGCTTTTTAGCTCACCTGAACCGAAGGCTCAAATGAGCATTTCTGATCGAAGAGTGTCCGGCGTCCGTCTGTAATCTTTACACATTTTCGACTTCTTCTCAAGAACCACTGGGTCGATTTCAACCAAACTTGCCACAAAGCATCCTTGGGTGAAGGGGATTAAAGATTGTTCACAGGAAGTGCCATGCCCTCTTTCAAGGGGAGATAATTAAGAATTCTTGAAAATTTTGTGGCATCTTTTAAAATTCTTCTTCTCAAGAACCACTGAACAAGAGAAGATGAAACTTCTCATACTCTAGCTTCATTACATACTCTAGATTCAAGTTTTTTCATATCATAACCCCGGTGTAGGACAGGGCCACAAAAGGGGGTCGAAGTTTTACATAGGAATATGTAGGAAATGTCTTTAAAAATCTTCTTGAGAACAGCAAAGTCATTATTAGTCATATTATAATAGAAGTATCCTCAGGTAGTGTAGATTCAAGAAATATATAGGGAAAAAAAATCTTTAAAAATCTTCTGTTCAAGAACAAAAAAGCCATAAGTTATATGGAAGCATCTTCAGGTAGTGTAAAATTCAAGTCCCCCCCCCCCCCCGTAAGCTTTTCAGTACTGAACTGATTTTTGCTTTCTCATGGTCAATGTGCTCAGGTGAGCGATGTGGCCCATGAGTCTCTTGTTTCAATTGTTATCCACATGCAAAAGCATCGTCTGTCACCATGATGTTCATTGTACATAGCATTTGTAGCAAATGTACTGGTATGCTCACAACTTTTTGACATACATTGTAAGTGAAAGATTTCATATGAAGTGCAGCTTGTTTGATTATGTAGACATCTCATTACTTGAATAAAACAAATTCAGCTGTTTAGTATTCTTTACCCTGAAGTTACTTTTGAACAATGTAGGTAATAAGAAGCATATGAGACGTGAATGATTGCTTGTCTCTTGCAATGGAGCCTCTGTAGAAATTTGATTATATGGGGACTTACATGTACAATTATTTGGAATTAGGCCCTTTTCAAAATGTCAAATGAAGAATCCAAAGAATGACAGGTACTGTGCATCTCAGGATGCAGCATATAAAAACTTTACATTGATGTAATAATTCAGTTACTCGTAAGTGAACCTTTTCTACCCAATCACTCAGCTAGAAAATACAGGTCACAAACAGTAACCTAAGTATAACCGGAAGTGTGCATCCCCGGATGTTATATGTATAAAAGGTTGAATAAATTAAGACTAGTAGTGACTTGTGAGAGAATCTTCTTCAAAACATTTAACTAATCTTTAATTTAAATAAAAATGCAGAATACTGATTGAGAGTAGAATATATTATATAAATATTGCATGTAGTTGAGTGTACATTGAAAATTTTCACCACTACTAAGTATTTCATTACAGAATTCAAGTCTTAAAACACCCCAAATTGCAGAAATATTCCCTTATTAGTCCCTACGAGTACTTTTTGGAAAAGGATCAATATTATGAAACCTTATTACAAATTTGCTTGACATGGTTAATCATATGCCAAAAAAGTTAAATGTAGGAGAATTTCAAATAAGAAGCTTCTACTTTTTAAAACAAACCCTTTTTAAAACCTCTTGAGACGGAATTGAAACCCCAGTATCTTCATGAAATGGTTAATTTTTAATTTTTTTTTTTTTTTTTGGTTGATTTGGTTACCTCTAAAATTTTGGAGGAATTGTAATGACAAATAAATAAGTGTAACAAATGGACAGACAGGAATAACATCAGTTGAAAGAATTAGAAAAAATTCTTCTCTTTCTTACCTTTTCGTTAACAACGACAATGTGAATGAATGTGTTTTTATTTTGTACATGCTATCTTCAAAAACATTCTAGGTATATCAATTTGTCTTTTTAAAAGTGTTTATTATAGTTATCTTGATACATCAAATTACTTTAGAAAATAGATCTTGAACAGAATATTTTTTCTACAATGGAGAAATTAATGACATATCTGTACCTTTTATGTTGTAAAAAAATATAATTTGTATTATATTGTGAGGGATGGGGAATTCTTTCTCTATGACCTGAGACAATCGATCGTTCATTTCAGTTTTACATTAGGTCGAGCTCCACTTGTAGTATGCTCTGATCTTGTTAATTCCAAAATGCTGTGGTTTGTCTTATAGTAGATTTGCAAATTAAGCTAAAATATGGAATAAAAATTGCTTTCTCTTATTTCGGTCAAAACATTAAACAAAAACTTATTTCTAAACTTACTTAGAGTAATGATAATTATAATTCGGAAATGTGTAACATTAATGTGTAACATTTGTCAGACAAATTAACAGGTACATGCTAGACCCTTTCTCATTAACAATGCTTGACTTAAAAATGATTACAGTAATTAATGAAATCACTAACAATAGATTAACCTTCGACCTAAGATAGCCTGACAGCTTTTAAAACACGCAGATTCACACGTGGTAAAACCATGTATAACAATATTAATGTTGTTTGTTTTAGTTACATCTACATCTAAACTACGTGGAAAATTCGTTTGCTCATCAGAAATAGGACACAAATCTTTAATTGGTTATAAAGAAATATTTAAAATAATGAATAATTCACATTATTCTAAAAAAGGAAAAAAATATGAAACTGAGTTTTCTTCGGTATCAATCAAGAAACATAATTTAAAACTTCGATATTTTTATCATTACTTATGTTCATGTAATTTATAAAATCATTGCAATTGAGAACAGTATTTCATTCAAATACATGTACAATGTTAAATAAATCATAGAGGCAATTGTGTGACATGTTTTGAAAATAAAATTCTTATGAAGTTATACCAAATCAGGGAGTAAGCTGTAATTAATTGATCTATGCACGAAATAAAAGCAATATGAAAGGTCCTATATTTTGGCCTTTTGCTTCTCTAAGAGATTATAAATAATAAAGTGAGAGAAAAAAAAAATAAGTTTATATGGTTATGCAACCTTAAATGTAGATTAACTTGGTGTTTTGAATTTAAATAAGGGGACTGCGATGCAAACCATTTCCCCGCAAAGAACATATCAATCCTGATATAAATTATTGCTTGCATAACTTCATTCCGCATGCACTCACTTTCCTCCCTTTACTTTATCCACCAAATTCGTTGCAAGGGGACAATAATATATAATGATTAAAGGTGAACAGAACGAACAGAGACCCATCTTAAAAAAAATCTACAAACAATACAAATCTGTGAACAGGGCATAAAGCACGGAACCCCCGAAATTCCAGAGGTGGGATCAGGTGTCCTACATGTATGAGGAGTAAGCATCCCCTGCTGACCGGTCCACCGTGAGCCCTATATGTATTCATCAGGTAGGGAGTTAGTCAAAGGCCTAACAATTGGTATGAAACACGTCAGCCAAAATAAGACCCAATGAAATGTTGTATTTGTTAACAAGGTCATTATATCGACCATAGAATTTACGAAAGCTAACTTAAAGAGGGTGTTGAAATCCCTGTAACATCAGCATATCTGTAAGTAGCCTGAAATTGATTACTCAGGGCATGCTCTTGAGTATCGAATTAGTTGGGAGACGTAAACACCATGTGCAGGTGATAGCAGATTATTACTATATAAATAAGGAGAATTGACGATAGAAAAGCTGAAGTCATCTCGTTTGCCATAAAATTTAGTTTTTTAGTTGACCCTTATCGTCTATTGTCAGTAAAACATTCAAAAATGAAACAGATGGCAGATTTTGTGATGTCTTTTATTTCATGTTCACTGAGAAATATCTAGACGACATGCGAATGGAAGTAATTATTGTTAATTTATAAAACGCCGTTAATATATCTGAATGTCGAGTTGAAGGCTACAGCAAGTGTTTTTTCCTCATGTAGAAGTTTTTTGAAAAAGATCTGCTTCATAGGAATATAAAAACAAGTCCGCTAATAAACGAGCACAATTAGTGCCCATCGAAATTCTTACAGAGTCCTAGTCTCCGAAGACTATATTAATGTTGTCAATGCGGAACTCCTGCATCCTTTAAATATCAACTTCAGAGTACTTTTGTGTAGAATCAGTGTGATTTTTAACAAAATGTTTTTGTTGATGACTAATCACAAGATACTAAAATTTTCGAGTTCCATTTTCATTGAAGAAGCAGTTGTCTATGGATATCATAAAGCTTATTATTTTTTTAATTTATCGTAAGGAATGGTTGTGTAAATTGTAGTGTCGTACGTTTTGATGTTATTATCTTCAGATAAAAATGGTGATATTAAATTACACCACTTCTAGAATATGCTGTAGCAGAGTACATCTGCAGTTTCTCCTTTACAGCGGTTAATATTTTTGTAAGGAGTAAAGATAGAAGTTTGGTACTGGACCCGGCAGAGTATCTTTGTTTGTAAGGATTCTTATGAAGTTTTGGAATTCAGTATAAAAAAGGTTAAACCATGAAATGGAATGACCTTGTTTGCAAGTATATCCAATCATTCGGTCGTATTTTGACTGGTATGTTTCATACCAACTGAGGCCATTGTGTTTATACTAAATTTGACTACAGAATATTGAAAAAAAGTAAAATTATATAATTAAAATAGGTGGGATCAGGTACCTAGGAGAAGTAAGCATCCCCTGTCGATCACACCCGCCATGAACCCTATGTATTGATCAGGTAGACGGAATATTCAGTATATAATTTTACTTTATTGTGTTTTCTTGTGAAGACTGAATCAACTATTCCCAGTCAGTATTCTTGATTTTCAGTCATACATTACTAAAAATATACCAATTTCTTTTACTCAATTTATAGATAGATCGTTTTTGCAGAATCAAAGTATCTTTTTGGATGTTTCATAATTTGGAGCTTTTTTTAAAAATTATTTTATATATTAATGGAAAGACATGTAAGTTTAGAATATCATTAAATACAGAGAAACTTAGATGAAGGAATATAATCATGTATCGTCATATATAAAATATAAATAATGTATCTTCAGAATATGAATAAATGAGAAAAATTTGTATTCAATTCCGGAAAAAGCTTATTTTCCTAATTAAAGAATAAATTGCTTTAAATCTGTCCAATGACAAGAACGATCAGCGTGTTAGGAATGGAAATATCATGGAATAGAAACTTCTTCATGATATAATGTAAGTCGATCGGTCTAGAAAGTACTCGAGAAGCCTAGTTCGAAAATGACATAAGTCGTTCGGTCGAGGAACCGAGTTCGAAAATAATATACTAGTAAGTCGATCGGTCTAAAAAGTGTTCGAGGAGCCAAAAAGGACCTAAATGTAAAATTTATTTTGATATTTAAACAGCTTTCATATGCATAACACAAATGAAATAACAGTGTTGAAAATAAGTGATTTTCCTAAAAGAGTACGAAAACGAAATAAGTATTTTAATTCGCACTTCATCTTAAAATATTTTTTTAATGGTTTGCTATGAATCAAAATGACTGAGAAAGTAATTATGTCAAAAAATGGCACGTTCATTATTAGAATTGAAATCTTCAACACGTTTTCTTGTTTATGGAGCTGAAGCCATTTTTCACTTTGCAAGGCCATTGAATAAAACCAGACCGGCCTCTAAGTAATCTGCACACTTTTCACGAGAACTGGAGACCATGTGGAATCTTGTAAGTTTGTATATATAATCTGTATATAGCACTGTTCGTTTTGCATGAAAGCTATGTTACCGCTACGGAAAATAATGTACATGTTGTAATTGCAAAGAGAAGTATTTACAATGAAATACAATTGACTATTGTTATTTGTGAATAAATATTATTTCCTTTTTAGAGTGCCCTGTTGACAATATTCTGGCTGTTTTTCACTCTAACATACGGGTCACCAGAACATTCTCCGGATGTCTGCGAGGATTACTGTCATAAAGATCGTATCCAGTGCAGTACTTCCTGTAAAAAGATTCATCTGTTCAATAAAACACGTTTTCTAGGCTGCTCAAGATCCTGCAAGTCTTCTTATACAGCCTGTTGCGACGAATGTCGTCAAAATGTTAAAGGCAATGGTACTATTTTGGAGGAGTATGCTCAAAAGAGCGCTACCAATGAAACACATCTGGAGACCAATTCAACAGTCTCATTACCAAAGTCAACTCCTAATTTAACACCGATTGTAAATCAACAATACCCTCTTCCGCCGGCATCAGCGTGTTCCAACGTGTGTACGTCGGAGAGATTTGGATGCCTGAATGAGTGTCAATTTACACCTTTTGATTACGGATGCATGCCCGAATGTGAGGTTGATAACGAGGATTGTGAACGAGAATGTCACTTTCAGGCCAATTATCAGATGAATCGTCAAAGAATTCAAGCCAATCAAAAACTTCTCTACTCAATTTGTGGCAGTGCCTGTTTTAAAAACCGCTGAACAATTGGAAAAAAGACTTATTTAATGTTATTTCTGGCAATTACCTGAAAATAATTGCAGATCGGTGTACATAATGATTGTTTATCATTATGAGGTCTTCCGGAAGTTCGAGTAGTGTCATTTTACTAGAACCAATTAATGTATATATAGTAGGGAACATATTTATTTCAGTCTGATATTTTCTCTTCAAAAATAATTTTTTTTAATTTTTGTAATAAGAAACTAATAGACTGTTCACTTTATTCCCTAGAGCTTTTTATTGATATGTTGTTTTATCACGATGCTTTTGTCTCACGCAAATAAATATAAAAAAAATATGTGTCAAGTAATAAATTAGGATACAATTGTTTTTTTCCTATTCCGATGATTTTGTTTTCTTAGCCAATTTCAAATAGGGAAGCTATGAAAATCTAAAGTGATTAGTCCTTTCATATATAAAATGTTCGAATCATACATTGTAAGGATGGATTGACTGAGCATGCCTCAGACCAAAAAAGTGCGTGTTTTTCCCCTGAATCAAAAAGGGGGAAGATAATGAACAATCCTCAAACTCATAAATCCTATAAATAATACAAATTGACATAGCAAAGACACAAATCCCGGAAACAACAAAGGAAGACGTCTCTCATCGACCCTTCAAACCCGCGCTCTCTGATCAACGGAGTAAGGGTAGTCAAAATTGGTATTAAAACAATCGCCAAATAATTGGTATGAAACATATCAGTCAAAATTCTAAGACGGAAAAATTAAAAATAGTTTTTGCAAACTGCTGACTTAATATAATTCTGTTTAAACCCCTGTAACATCAACTTATATGTCATTATTCTGCCTCGGCTTGAAAACTGATCATACACATACACCACAAATGAAATGGAATACTGCTTAATAAATACAGGAAGTTCCATAAGTAAAGCTGAAGTCATCCCCTCTGTTTTAGATTATAGGTGGTTTATAGGTGGTTTATCAGGTAAACATTAATAATTTAACATAAATGACAACATTAATGTATAGCTTAATTAAAACATCCAAATAGGAAACAGATGAGACGAACTCTTTGTAGTCTTTTACTTTGAATTTACCAGGGTGTGGCAAGTCGACATATGAAATAAAATAAATGTTTTTTTAATTGATAAAACGTCGTCAATATATCATTATGGCGAATTGAAAGCCACGGAAAGATTTGTGTTCCTACATAGAGGTTTTTAAAAAAAATAATTATGCGTTAAAAGAATACAAAAAAAAAAAAAAAAAACCCACAACAACAACAAAAAACAAAAAACCAAATATATATATATATATATATATATATATATATATATTTATATATTTATATATATATATATATATATATATATATATATATATATATATATATATATATATATATATATATAAACGAACAAAGTTTGTGCTCATAGAAATTTTAACAGATTGTTGAAAGATCTGATCTCCAAAAACTACATATTTTCAATAACTCCATGCACCATTGGAAGTTAAAGTCATTGTAGAGGATTGTAGAGGAATTATTCAAACCAAAATCAAAAGCACTTAACACAATGTCATAAAAAAGGCTATCGTTTTAGTATAATGACAGAGGATTATAATTTAAGTATAATAACAGAAGCTTATGCTTTATCTTCATAACATAATTTATTAATTATATATTTTTTGTGTAATAATTTAAAGTAATACCTTTAGTTCAATGACATAAGCTTTTAGCTTTGTGACAACGCCCTTTGAAAAAAAAAATTGAATTTTTTTTTCAAAGTGAGTTAAATTGGGACAAAAATCAACGCACTTTGGAAATTTTTTTTCAAAGTGCGTTAAGAGTGTACATCAACACTTTTTACCATGGAGACAATTAACGCATTTCGAAAAAAAATGTATGAAACAAAAATTCTGGACTTAGATTTAAGTAATAGACGGCATTATTTTGTTATATTTCTTTCAAAAACTGATGATCTACTCTCACCGAGAACGAGGAGAAGACAGGTAGAAGGTCCCTCAGCGTATTGGTATACTTTCTCTCAATAAATTTGAGATAACGTAAAATAAATGACAAAAAAACTTTGAGATAAGCCTTCCTGAAAAAATAAAATAACGCACCCTATTTTACTCAAGAAGAGAGGCTCAGTTTCCATATCGCTGATCTAAGCAACACTAGCCAACATACTATACTTTGGCCAAAGTAGCTTTACAAAATCAAATATAATACAAATAAAAAATTGTATAAAATGCATAAATGATTTTTTTTTTATACCTCTTACTGTAGATTCCTTATTTTTCGCGAAATGGATCTTTGACGTCAAATCGCTAGAACAATAATTCGCAAGTGGACGGTTGATCATCATAGATCAATATGGTAAACTGAGAGAGAGAGAGAGAGAGAGAGAGAGAGAGAGAGAGAGAGAGAGTCTTCATGGTATGAAAAAATCATAATTGCTTTAAGTCACTTATTGACCCCTTTATTTACCGAACGTATTACAGACTGGACAAACTAAAAAAAAGAAGAAAATAAAATTGTGCTATTGAATAATTATTCCTCCATTATTTCTAAAAGACTTATTTCCCTTTATAACATTTACGAGAACCTTTGGAAAAATCTTTAAAACGTCTATATCTCAGATCCTGAAGTGAAGCCATCACCGAAAAATCTAACCAGGTTCAAATAATTATTTATCATACCTAAACTTTGCAAGAATATTGACCAAGCCGTGCACATTTTTTTCCAAAGCGCGTTAATATGGTCGATATTAACGCACTTTGAAAAGAAATATTTTTTTTTTCAAAGTGCGTTAACTTGGTCCCAAATTAAACGCACTTTAATTTTTTTTTTCAAAGTTCTTTGTAACATAGCTTAACTAACAAGGAACTATACCTTAATTTTTTTCTGAAAATAGGGTGAAATTATTCCATTGGGATACATCAAGACGCTTTTTTCATTAGATTGTCACTTAAATTTCTTAACATTCAAATTCATATATAAAATTGACGTCAGCATTGTCTCGTTTAGGTGCAAGGGCGTTTAGGTTCAGATTAAAAATGTTGCTTCAATTATCGATTTTTTTTAATGTAAAATTTTGCAACAATACATTCATAAACATTCTCTTGCCTAAAGGTTTACTTGTAAAATTTATAATCTGGAAACGTCTGTATATTCTTGTCTGCAACTAGGTCACCTGAACTCAAACACTGAAACCATGTACTCATATTCTTTAAAGCCCTGAAAACTACTATGAAATATATAAATAAAACCTTGCACTCAAAGTTGTATATCTTATTTTGTCTAATCATTGGAACTCGTTGAATGGTGTACGTAGGGCATCTGGTACATCGGAATTTTTTCCCATATCCCATTTACAACCACTTAAAATGAAATAAATAAAATTGGAACAATTGAATGAATTTAAAAGTTTACATAACTCAAGGATATATCATTGGGTTTATGTACTTTTATCTGGTGTTATGCTCCGAATCATCACTCAACTGACAGGCATAAAAACCAAGAAGAAAACATTAAGCATTTAAAGAGGGATTAAATAAATAATTAAAAAAATACGAAACAAAATTCAACATTGTAACATTGTATCTGTCTTGTCTTCCAATAAAAAAATCTATTTTGTCAAGAAAATATTGAAAGTGAAGCCAAATAAAGATATGATATCTTAATTATTTTTTTTATTTATTTATTGTTTAACGTCCCTCTCGAGAATTTTTCACTCATATGGAGACGCCAACACTTGCCGATGGAGAGCTGCAAATTTTGACCTATACTCGGCATTCGGGGCCATTAAGCAGTTAGGGATCTTTTTCGCACCAGCACCTACTGCGACAAGGGACCTCGTTTTATACGGTCTCATCCAAAGGACCGTTCTCCACGTCCCACAGTGGGATTCGAACCCTCGACGTAAGGATCAACTCCTTACTCCGCGACTCTAAAGCGAACGCTCTAACTACTGCGCCACGATGAAAGCTTAATTTGGGATAATTGTAAAATAAATAGCTGTTAAAATTAAACTAAAATGTAAAAATTCTAAGTCTCGAAGAATGTTTCAACCCCCTCCCCCTCAATCTGAATTGAAATCCCAAATTCAAGGCATATATTTTCATGCAAGAAGCATATACTGAAATAAGAAAAACTATATATCAACTACAGCACAAAGTTTATGCAAAGATTGAAATATTTTTTTTGAAGTTTGAGAAAGTATAGGAACATATCGTTTCTGCATGATCATCACTGAAGTAATATAGTTTGTGGAAATGTGCATCTGGTGCATCAAAATTGGTACCGTAAAAGATTTACATCGTTTCAAACCTACATCTTATTATCTTACAAGCTAGAGAACATTAAGGAACATATCGTTTCAAATCAATGACATGAATTTCATTAGAATACTGCATGAAATTTGCCATGTAACTCATTATAAATATTAATGAAAAATAGAAGTTAAATGTCGTTTGATCCTTGTACGTAATTTCAAATCATTTTCGGGTGATTTTTTAATCTATAGGGACCAATAGAACATCACTTACATAATAATATAATACAGAGGAACTATTTCAAAAGCTTAACAAACAATGAAAAGTTCAGATGAAGAGATAATGATATACATGTTTGCAACTAAATTCAAGGTGAATTATAAAATTTATAATTTGTACATTATTAGACAGAGTACCTTGAAATTCGTAGGATCTGTAAATTTTTGTGCAGCATTTTAAATTGCATGTCTCGGATGACTTATTTTTACATACCTTATGAAAGAAAAATTTAACATTTTCATCATCTGAGAAAATAAGAATTACATTTAATTTTCGTAACTCTCTGAGGAATGCTACTTATACAAAAGCTATTATAGAAAATCTACATTATGTAAATGCAATTGAATCACGTTTAAGAATAAGTATTTTAAGAAAGGCGTGTTAAAAAACGATTATGGACAAAGAGTTTGAAGGTAGGAAGAAATTTGGTATCCAGTTTTTCTCTTTGTATTTTTTTACTCTATTATTCTTAAATATAGATAAAATGCGTTTCTTAATCGAAAAATCTGATTTAAGGAAATGCCATTAGATATCGTTAAATTACAAATTACAATAGTAAAATCTGCTTTGTTGGGTACATGTGGGTGTTGTTTTAAAATATATTTTTTGTGTTTTAGTATATACATACAGTAAGTAGTCTCCTTAACTGTGATATTTCTACCTCCATGGTGGCGATTTTGATGAATTAGGATACGAAAAGAAAAAGGAAAATGACGCCTCGAACTATTCATTATGAGAATACTGAATACATATTTTCATAGATTTGAATAAATGTTTATTCTTTTTCT